TTGCTTCAATACAAGTGTTTCAGCCGCTCCTCAAAGTAAAGCTTTCAAAGGTTACCTCGGCGCACTGCACTTTCGCAATATGTCCTGCCTTCTCGAGTTCCATCCAGTTCGCTTCGTAGATTTTTGGACCGATGAGGAAGTTCAAATCTGTGATTTTGTCATCTTCTCGTACCAAAGTGGCCGTCAGACCTAGCTTGCAGTGTGCTCGAACAATTGTCAACACGCGACGGAACATTTTAGCAGGTATCGTATGCACTTCTGTAACCAGTGACGTGATTTCAGCACAAAAGCATTTAAACACGACATATGTCGTGTATTATTAAAGAGGCAAAAAAGTTCCGATACTTAACAGACCAGAAAATCGTGTGCACTCAATACAAATTTTTGGCATTAACTAAACAACGGACACAATTCGACACGAGCGATGTTATCAAAGCAGTGTACACCAAGAACAGCTGCACTTGAAGGATTATTTTATGCGAATGAGGTAAATCCAAAATAAAGAAAGGTAGTAGGTTCTAGCTGCCCATATGGAGAGAAGGAATGTGATGCGAAGACAAAAGCTGATCAAAACCTCCAAGCAACGCAAACATGCCTTCTGCATTTTATGTGTTTTTTGCAGCTAATGCAATGCAGAAAACCCATACTGACAAGGGGCTGTCTGTGTGCCTGCATATCCGTGTGTTTGTGTGTGCGTTTGTCACGCACTTTCATCTCACGACCTATGAAAGCTCCGTGGCTGAAATTCCGGGAAGTCAATCTACACGCAAGTGCCGGCACCAATCCCCAAAATGGGCGAAAACATCCGCGTACGGGTCCGCCAAAATTTTTTTGGGGTATGTTCATAACTCGAGGATCTGAGAAGCTAGAACGCTGAAATCTCAGGCGGATGTCCCCGTCCAACTAGGTATTAATGCACTCAAACCCATCCTCCGGGTAAGCGTGGTACCTGCGAACGGGTGAGTCAAAATTCTTTTCGGTTAAGTTCACAGCTCGGAAATCTGAGAAGCTAGGACGCTGAAATCTTACAGGGATATCCCCCGTCCAAGTAGGTGTTAATGCACTGAAACCCATCCTTCGAGTAAGCGTGGTACCCGCGTACGGGGTCGCCGAAATTTTTTTCGGGTAAGTTTATAACTCGGGGATCTGAGAAGTTAGAATGCTGAAATCTTAGGGCAATGTTCCCGTCCAACTCGGTATTAATGCACTCAAATCCATTTCCCGGTAAGCGTGGTACCCGCGTACAGGGGCCGCCGAAATTTTTTTCCGGTAAGTTCATAACTCAGGGATCCGCGAAGCTAGAACGCTGAAATCTTAGGCCAATGTTCCCCGTCCAAGTGAGTGTTAGTGTACTGAAACGCATCCCCCGGGTAAGCGTGGTACCCGCGTACGGGCCCGCCAGAACTTTTTTCGGGCGAGTTCATAACTCGGGGATCTGAGAAGCTAGAACGCTGAAATCTTACGGCAGTGTTCCCCGTCCAACTAGGTGTTAATGCACTCAAACCCATCCCAAAAATTTTTTTTCGGGTAAGTTCATAACTCAAGGATCTGGGAGGCTAGAATGCCGAAATCTTAGGGCAATGTTCCCCGTCCAAGTAAGTATTAATGAGTTCAAACCCTGCCCGCGGGTAAACTTTCAAGGGCCTGTACGTACAGGCCCTTGAAAGTTTCTTCCGGGTAAGTTGCTAACTCGAGAAAGTGAGAAGCTAGAAGACTGGGATTTTGAAGAGATGTTTCCTGACAGTTCTGGCGGCCAGTCTGAAATTCTTTTAGCCAGAAGCATCTGCCAGAAAAACCAGTGCCGCTAGCGACAAAAACCTGCGGGGAGCTATGCAAAAAACGCATCTTCGCACGGGCAGCCCGTGCGTTGGCTAATGTTTGGTGCTCAGGATCCTTCCAAGTTTTTAAGCACAACACTGGGTCAATGATTGTTAACAAATCTACTAGACAATTATTTGGTGATCTAAAAAACTAAATCCATTTCTAGAATCATACAAACTGGTAGGGCAATGGCCTTCAAGATGGCTTTTAGTTAAAAAGCCCAGTAATGGAGAAAAACTGAGATGGGAAAAATATTTCCTTAACTTTATTCTGCATGCTGAAGCCCCGGCATGTACTGCCAATAAAACCGCTGAAGGTTGGTAATTTGTTCAAGAGACGAAAATAACGTTGAAATCGCCAGGGGAAGGCTGCCTACCGCGTAATGCAACACTAATCAAAGCAAGTCGATACGATGCTAGCTGCATAGCTGGAAGATCGAACTAAAAATTAGTATGTGGACCATGTATTTCGAAAAATAAGGCTGGACTAACAGCACAAATAAATCAGCAATAAAGCACATATGACGGCTTCAGGATTATCTAGAGCTGATGCTCGAGAACAACAACCGAATAAGCGTAAAAAGTGCTCACCATCAAGGATGACAAGACCCCATTCACGGCCCTCAATGTATTTCATCGCTTCCTC